AGCTCCCAGAGCTCAGTGGCATCTTCCAGGGCATTGCAGCCTGCCAGGACCTGGGCCTGGCCTCTTGCAGCCCCCACCCCAAGCCTGCACCCCCTTGCATAAACCCCAGCCTGGTGGTGCTGCAGTGACACCAAGTCAGCACCTGGAACTCCACAGGATCCACCGTGGGTGGGTCCCCATGCACATGGACTTGGCCTGGCAGTGGGGGCCAGTGGCCAGCTGGAGAGCTGTGCCCCTATTATCATTACTTTTATATTGAACCCCAACGTAGGTATTATAGTTACCATTTCATGGATGAGAAGAACAAGGATTTGACCCAGATGAGTCCTGAATTTGAATCCAGGCTCTGCCATCACCTCACTCAGTGATCTTTTGCAAGCAGGTTATCAATACATGGAAGCAATTGTTATTTTAGGATCTAAAAGAACTTTATCAGATCGTTTATTTATTTATTTTTTTCTTGTGCATTTAATAAGTGCTGCTGTGCTCCAGGCGTGTGCCAGGAATACAATAGCATTCAGATACAGTTGCTGCTCTTAAGAAGCTTAACCTTTAGAGCTTTTAAGAAGTTGCCCTTGAAAGTGACAGGAAATCCAATTTAAAGTGACTTGAGAAAAGATATAGAATTTGTTAGCATAACAAATTAAACAATTCAGGGAAAGATTGGTTTCAGATTAGACCCAGGGTTTCAAGTGATGTTCTCTCTCTCTCTCCATTCCTAGTCCGCTCCTTGAATTTTGGTCCATTCTGCATCCTGTCTTATGACTTCTAGTGTGCGTTGTCATTCAGGATCCCAGCCTGAGTTTCACTGTGTCCTGTTAGCCGTCCGAGGGCACAGCCCACCCCGGCTCTGAGCACTGGGGCTCGGAGAAGGAGTGGTGCTAATGGCTTTGCTCTAGATCTTGTGTGGGACCTCTGGGTGGAGTCAACGGCATCAGAATCATAGGAGTTTTTTTAAGCGAAGGGGCAGTCACCAGAGAGAAACCGAGTTACCAGGAGAAAGAGAAATAGAAACTGGGAGTGTATGAAACTAGACATTTAGACTATACCGCAGAGTCCTGCAGGGAAGCGGAAGAAGAGTTCCTTGCTCACTCCTGGCCAGGTAGCCCAGGGAGTAATGCTCAGGCTGGAGGTAACCTACCCCTGGGCAGGAAAGGTAAACAGAGGCCAGCTCAGAGAGGTCGGGGAGTTCATATGCTGGAATTCGGACTTTATCATGAGAGCAACTGGAATAGGTCCCTTCCCATCACCATCTGCATCACTAAAGCATCTGTTTTGGAATCTTTCCCATGTTTTCCCTCATATTTTTATCTTAGCTTTTCTCTGTTCCTATTTGCTGTCTTTCTTCAGCAAGGCACTCTGCCCGTTCCCACATGTCACTTTTTTCTGGGTTACTTGCCACACACACATCTACTTGGATTTAGTAGGTTGTATCTAGCATCAGCTCTAGTGAATTGGCCCAAGGGAATTTCTAGATCCCTAAACTGAATAATGGCTTTAACAAAGCCCTACTTTCTATAAGGGAACTTAATATATGACAGAGGAGGCACTTCATATTGAGGAGAAATATGAATTATTCATGAATGCAGTGGCCATTTAGTAACCATCAAAATAAAGCCCATAGTTAGATTCTTGCCTCACACAAATTAATATCAGTTAGATCAATAATTTGCAAATAAAAACCATAGTATCAAATGAAAACGAGGGAATTTCTTTTAGAAATAATATTGTATTAATAAAAATCTTTGTAAATATGAAAAAATCACTTAAGATTAATGAATTCAATACTTTAATAAACTAACAATTCTGTAAGGCAAATATCATTAACAAAGCCAAAAGACAAATAATTTACTAGAAAAAATATAGCGTATCCTCTAAAAATGTATATACATAAAGGCAGTGTTTATTAAACTGCATTTAATTTTCAAAATTGAGCTATCAGCTGTTAAAGTATGTATACATTTTTTTTGGATACCCTGCATATGCAATGCAGATTACTAAGGACTAATTTTATTTATATTAAAAAAGTTCTCCTAAAACAATCAGAAAAAGAATAGCTACCCCAAAAGAAAAACTGAGAGAGGATATAAAGAGTTGAGATTAAAAAAAAATACTACTTTTTAAAACTATGAAAAAAATGCTCAATCTCGTAATTAGAAGGAAGGCAAATGAAACTGCCATCAGATCTTATTTTTCATTTAATCAGTCTATCAAACATTAAAAATTTCGATAATACATTGTGTTAGCGACAATGGGGAAATAGGTACTCCAATACATTTCTGCTGAAATTTCAATCAATAGAGATTTTCCAGAAGGGAGTTTGGCATCAGCTATCAAAATGATCAATTCATGTACACTTGGGCCCAGCAATTCCACTTATAGGAAACTAGAGGCCCAGTGCACGAAATTTGTGCTCAGGTAGGGTCCCTAGTGACTGCCAGCTGCAGGCCAGGCCTCCCTTCCCTGACTGCAGGCTGTCAGCCAGGGCCTTCCTTTGTTTCGCGCCACCTTCTGGTGGTCAGTGCATGTCATAGTGAGCAATCAAACTCCTGGTTGGTCGAACTCCCAAGGAGACACTTTGCATATTAGGCTTTTATATAAAGAGATTACCTTTTATATACTGTGTGTGTGTGTATTTGCAGAGTTGTTTCTATAAGGCTGTTTATTAAGTAATTTACCACTGTAATAATAGAAGTTTGTAAAAACAAAGAAACAAGCAACAAAAAAGAACCCTTACACATTTTTAAAGAGCAGGTTCATTGAATAAAGTATGGTACATTTATGCCTGAAATCTGATGCAACCAAATAGATTAATAATTTACAAATAAAAACCATAGCACCAAATAAAAATGAGGGAAATATGATGCAACCATTAAAAATAATAATGCAGCATGATATAATCTCCAAAGCATATCGTCAGAGAAAGAAGTGGGGCCAAAACCGGTTTGGCTCAGTGGTAGAGCATCGGTCTGCAGACTGAAAGGTCCCAGGTTCGATTCCGGTAAAGGGCATGTACATTGGTTGCGGGCACATCCCCAGTAGGGTAGGTGCAAGAGGCAGCTGGTCGATGTTTCTCTCTCATTGACATTTCTAATTCTCCCTCTCCCTTCCTCTCTGTAAAAAATCAATAAAATATATTTTTTTAAAAAGTGGGGTATACAAGAATGCATAGAGTATGACACCACCTGTGTAAACTGTAGCTAGTGTGTGAATTTGGTGTCTCTGAATTTGGTTACAATCGCCAGTGCCAGGGAGGGAAACTAGTGGCTGAAAGGCACAGGGGGGAAGTGCTGTAATTTTGTGCCTGTGTTGCCTATCCGAGAAATCTCTCTCCTCCCTCCACGTGCAGCTGCCCTTTGCTGCTCCCACAGGCCAGCGGACTCCTCCTGTGGTTTTGATCTTCTCTTAAAATAGAACGACCTCTCTTTAACATTCACACTTCCAGAGACTGCTAAATTATCTAACGAGATACGTGTACAAAACCCTCAGTAAAGTATAAAGCACTGAACAGCAGTGAGGAATAGTGGTTACGAGTACTGGTGTAATATGTTGAACGATGTCAATTTGACAAGCAAAGCAAGGCCAGGTTGGAGTAAAAACATACATTTCCCTGATCCTACATAGACCCAAGCTTTCTTCTCTTCTGTATAATCTTTGCTTGTCAAAGAAGGTACCACATCTTTCCCAATTTGAGTACAATACTTAGCTCACTGTGGGTGTTTAACGAAGGTTAAATAGTAATAATAATAATAATAGCTATTTATGGATCACTGCACCATTTGATGATACTTTCCTTCTATTGAATCACACATTTTAGCAAGCCATTTTTAAAACATATTCCTAACTAAATTAAGGTGCAGTAACTCACAGTGAGAACTGATCGTTATATAAAAAAAAGAGAACTGGCACAGAACCAATGATTTAAACTGCACCTTTCCAGTTCTTCCTTGGTGGCATTAACAATGGTGCCCTTTTGAAATGTCTTCTCTTCTCCCAAATACCTTATTATAATTGTGATAGGCTGCCTAGAGGGATAGTCTTCCCGTTGGCTATTTCCCCCCTCCCATTTGCTTTTATATTTTGTGATCTGCCATGGGGGGAGGGCATCACAGGGACTAATCTCCTAATTTTAAGCTTTAATTGTCCCTGCTCTTTAACTGGGCTCTGGTTTCTCAGTGTTCCTGCTCACCATGCTGTATCACTCTCAGCCATGGCCCCTGGGGGCGAGCGGACCGAGTTCAATGATCTCAGAGGGCCTCCCCATTTCAGAAGCTCCATGCTTCTCCAAAAAAAAGAGGTACATTTTGCTGAAGTTGGTTTGGCTCAGTGGTAGAGCGTTGGTCTGTGGACTGAAAGGTCCCAGGTTCGATTCCCGTCAAGGGCATGGCACATCCCCAGTAGGGGGTGTGCAAGAGGCAGCTAGTTGATGTTTCTCTCTCATCGACGTTTCTAGCTCTCTATCTCTCTCCCTTTCTCTCTGCTAAAAATCAATAAAATATATTTTTTTAAAAAAGAGGTACATTTTATGTGCTAGGGGTATTAAGAATGATGTCTGTTCATTAAGCTCAAACACAATATTAATCCTTTAAAAAGATACAAATTCTCTAGGTCCTTTAAGAATATGTCTGTGGAGCTTCGTTTCAGAAATCCCAGCGTAATGAAAATGCACATTCATATTTGCAAGCCTTCACGTATACCACGGTCCCCCCTTATCCATGGGGTATGTTCCTAGATCCCCAGTGGACGCCTGAAACTGTAAATAGTACTGAGTCCTACATATACTTTTTTTTTTCATGTATATAGAAAATACCCATGATAAAGTTTAATTTATAAAGTAAAAGATTAATAACAATAACTAATAATAAAATGGAATAGTTATAGCAATATACTGTAATAAAAGTTATATGGATGTAGTCTCTCTCTCTCTCTCTCTCTCTCTCTCTCTCTCTCTCTCTCTCTCTCTCTCTCTCAAAATGTACTCACCTTTTCATTTAAAGTACTTTCTGGCTTCTCTTTGGCATATCTGAATAGCCAGCGTCACATTCTTGCACTTTGGGGCTGTTATTAAGTTAAATAAGGGTGACTTGAACACAAGCACTGCGATAGTATGACGGCTGATCTGGTACTTAGATGCTGCTAAGTACAGGTAGTGCGTGTACAGGGTGGATACGCTGTATAAAGGGATGATTCCCATCCTAGGTGGGATGGAGCGAGCTGTGGGAGATTTCATTACACAGAAAGGCAAGGAATTGTTTATTTCTGCAATTTTCTATTTAATATTTTCAGAGAGCAGTTGACCACGGGTAGTGTAACCCAGAAAGCAAAATCAGAGATCAGGGGGACTAACTGTACTGGTCATCCTACCTGGAATGTCCTTCCTCTCCCTGCAAACTCCTCCTCAGCATTCAGAACTCAGCACGAACGAACTCCTGGCATCTTCTTCCCGAGTCCCCAACGGAGTGTGAGCAGCTCTCTTCTCTGCCCCCATACTGCCTGATGACGCTGAGGCACTTCTGATGCTGAAGCACTTCTCTCCAGCGCTATTGTCTGCGTCTGCCTTTGTGACTGTACTTCCCACAAGACTGTGAGTTCCTTATCAGCAAGAGTGTTTTCTATTCATCTTTGAATCCCCAGGGGCTGGAACATAGAAGATGCTCAACAAGTGCTTCCTGGAGGAATAAATGAGTAAATCATTGGAAGTAAGGAGTCTCGGGTCTCAGTCCCAGCTCTGCGGTTAATAATGTGTGGTCCTGAGCAACTTGTTCAACTATTCCAGGCTTCACTCTCCTCAAGTATAAAGTGAAGGGTAGGGTGCCCACAGTACTGAGTCCCTCAAGTCAGGACTGGTCTGGAAGGCTGCACATGGGGTAGGGAGTGGGTGCAGTGAAGGGGAAATTGACCTACAGAGGCAACAGAAACAAGGCAAAAAGTGATATTAATTGAGCAGATTTGGTTGTAAAGCAACAGCCTGCGCAATACAATCTGGAAGTGGATGAAGCAAAGTAAACTCAGGGAATATGTCTCTACTGATGTTCCTTTTATGTAACTTCTTTAATGGTACTATATTGATTTCCTTTATTAACCTTAATTGTTAACTGTTATTTTATGTGGAAGTTACAATGTCTACAAATGAGTAATTATTCGTAATTGTAGATCATTAAAAAAATCTAAGGACACTAAAATTAAAAAACATGTTATTTGTGAAGGTTCCTTTGACTGCTTTTTTTTTTCTTTTTTTTTTTTCCAGTAGGTCTGACATTTCCCTCAGTACCAGTCATGACCATGTATGCCTGGGGCTTGGCCTGTGCCACATGTTCATGCATTTCTTACTGACCTTCCCGGCTGCAGATGTCAGCCTGTGACTTTGCTATGACAGCAGAGTCATAAGCAGCAGAGGGCGAAGGGAATGTGGAGTAATTAGAGCACTCTGGTTCGAAAGGGTTACTCAAGTGAAGCTCTACAAAGGAGCTGAAGTTAGCCTCGTTTAAAAATGTGGAAAATGCCCTGTCTTCACTCGCCACTCATTACTGACAAGGATATAGACAATGAAGCATATACAGGGTGTCCCAAAAATGTATGCACACTGTAACTGCTGATAGCTTAATTTTGAACATGGAATGTATTTTAATAAACACTGCCTTTGTAATTATACAAAGTGTGCATAAACTTTTTTTGGTGGGGCATCCTATATATTTTTTGTGTGTGTGTGGGTAATTACAAAACCTCAAGGCACAATAAAGGTCACAGTCACTGCTCAAAGCCATGTCCTCATCCCTGCTCTGCTCAGCACACTGCTTGTCTCTTCATTCAGGGTCAGAGCTTCTTAACAGCCATGGAGACACGTCTGCCTACCCATCGTGCTCTGACGCACTTGGCAAAAGCTGGGCATGGAAATGAATCATTAAACTCGCTGATAAGGAGAAGAACATTAATTAGAATAACCAGATGCTCAGGAAAAGACTAATAAAATCTTATCCCGAGTTTGGGCAAATTAAACTCATATAATTGATTTTAGTCACACTTTGGCTGCCTCCGAGTGGGATGTGAAAGGATGGGAAAGAGTTACTGTCTGATAGAATAATTAACTCAGAAAAAGTATTCTCTCTTATGTCACACGTGGCCATGCATCCACTCATCTGGCATTATAATCAGGTCTGACTTTTAATTGTAAAGGCACGGAGAGAGAATTTTAAAACAGATGCAAAAACCCAGTCAACTTCCATAGCAACAAGAGAGTTCCTGAATCGAGTGAGCAACAGGAATATTAAAACAGAAAAGCCAACTCCCCGGGTATTGGAAACTGATTTGAAACCAAACTATTAAAGACTATAATAGGATTTGGAAATATGACCAGATTCTCTTGATAGTTTCTAGCTTCATTTTTATCACTGGCCCAGTCTTATTTTCTATTTATAATTAGATAAACATGCAGTTTACGTGTAAAGCAATTCAGAACCTGTATTCTGACTCACCATTGTGGGGAAAATAAGCGTTTTTAAATATTGTTTTTTAAATTACTCAAGTGGTAGAAATACAACCCACAGCGGCAGTAGCGGATATGAGAAGGCACACAGGGTTAGCTTTCGGCATGAAGAGCGGGGCTTGGGGCCCTCATGGCCAGCCGAGCGTCTAAGATTAGACATCCCATGAAATTGTAGGGCTGGGAGTGAATCAGAGAGGAAACTGAGGCTGAAAGATCAAGAGACTTGTCCCAAATTACCCCGAGAGGTGTAAAACCTATTGGAATTCTGTCCCTCTAAATACCCAGTCCAGCCTTCCTAGCAGAGGCTCCCACTCTCCTGGACTGGCTGTCATTGATCATCCCTCTTGCCACCTGCATCTCAACAGAGCCTGAGGAACACCTGTGGACATCTGCCAGAGTGAAAAACACTGAAGGTCACCAGCTGGAATCATGGAAATCCCAAATAAAAGCTTTTCAAACTTGCCTGCCAAATCTTATCTTTTCCAGTGTGCCAATTCAGTTTGCTTGTTGAGACAGCCGAGACTTCAATTTAGTTATCAGTAAATTGGTTGCCTTCCTTACTAGTACTCAAGAATATATGACACTGAGAAGAGTGTCCCTGCAGACAAAGCTGGGGATTCAGAGCTTTTGGGTCTCCATCAACAGTTTCATCTTGGCTCTTGGCTGTGATGAGCCTGGAAAGCTAGGGCTCCCTTGCCGAACTTGGCCCTACCTCCCGATTCTCTTTCTGATCACTGCATAAGAGGGTCAAAAGAGATTCAAAACCTGTCAGGAATTTACATAGAAGTTGCCCCTTCTTCCTCACTCATGCCCTTGTTTTTAATCTTTTCACCACAGGAACCTCTGGCTCACCTGCCTCTGTGGAAGCTCTGTCTGTATTAACTTGGCTAGGCCCTGGCATCCAGACATTTGGTCAAACACTAGACAGACTGTTTCTGTCACTCATGTGTTTAGACGAGTTAACAAATGAAGCAGCAGATTTGAGTAAAGCAGATCACCCTCTAGAACAGTGGTTCTCAACCTTTCTAATGCCGTGACCCTTTGATACAGTTCCTCATGTTGTGGTGACCCCCAACCATAAAATTATTTTTGTTGCTACTTCATAACTGTAATTTTGCTACTGTTATGAATTGTAATGTAAATATCTGTGTTTTCCGATGGTCTTAGGTGACCCACAGGTTGAGAGCCGCTACTGTAGAGCCTAAGACCGCATACACATTTAGGATTCTATGATTTTAAATGTTATTTTAGATTTAAGATTGAACACTGTATATTAGCTGTTCATTGTTGTGTGATAAACTACTGCAGACTTAGCAGCCTAAAGCCATACAAAACCAGAATGGGCCAGAAGACACGGCAAAAGTAATTTTGCTTCTTGATAATGCACCATCACACACTTCAAAACCAGTTAAAGACATGTGAAAAGATCTTTCTGGTGTAGTTCCTCTGATCAGGAGTCTGAGCATGACCTCCTGAGGCCTTTGCTTAGGGCTGACAAGGCTGTAATTGTGTCTGTCTGTCAGGGCTGCATTCTCATCACAGACTGGAGTGCAGGAAGATCCACTTTCAAGCTTCCTCAAGTGATGGCAAAATTAGTTTCCTCGTAGCTGTAGGATCCATGGCAGCCTGCTTCTTCAAAGCCCACAAGGAGGAGACTCCGGAGCTTCAGTTTTTCCTTTAGTTGGTTTTGCTGACTGTTGGCTAGAGGCTGCCTCAGTCCCTAGAAACCCCCACCCCACCCTGCTCCACCTCATACTCTGCCATGCGCTCACTCTGCAGTTCACCACATAACTCTGCTTATTCAAGTCCAGAAGGAGAGAGAGTTAGTCCACTAGCAAGACTCAGTCTTATACTGGTATATTGTAAGGGAATGACATCTTTTTACCAGTATTTTACTGGTTAGAATCAAGTCCCAGGTCTCACATTCAAGGGGAGGAGAGTACAGAAGGCAGAATCACCTTAGAGTCTGTCCACCACAAATAATTCCTAAGTGTTCGAACTGTGAGACATAGGCCTGATGGGATCCTCTCCCTGTAGCCCTTACAAGTACCAACTGCAGAAGGAGTGGCTGTTGTATAAACCTGGTTGAAAAGCCATCACATTTTTATTAGTGCTTAAATAGACAGAGAGCCCAATGGAACAGAATACAAACTCCCCAAATAGATTCAAGTGCAAATTAAAATTTTGAATGTGATAAAAGTGGCATCTAAAATCACTGGGAAAATGATGGACTTATAAATGTTGTTGGGACAACTGGATAGCAATTTGAAAAAAGATCAAATTAGATCCATACCAGAATGCTAAATTAATCAAAGTTCGACATGCAAAAGTTTATTTATAAAAAATCAGAAGGAAATATAGGTCAACTTCTTTGTAGGGCAGGGCAAAGCCTTTATAATGTTGTTCCAGAATCCATATGCAATAAAAATATTAATAAGTTTGACTATATTAAAAAAGTTACATGGCAAAATGCAGACATACACACAGAGAACATATTTGTGGCATGTATTGAAGATAAGAGGTCTAATTTATATAATATAAAATTAAGCTCTTAAAATTAAGTAAAAAAGATTCAAACCTGCCAAGACCGGTTTGGCTCAATGGATAGAGTGTTGGCTTGGGGACTGAGGGGTCCCGGGTTCGATTCCAGTCAAGGGCACGTACCTTGGTTGCGGGCATGTCCTCAGTAGGGGGTGTGCAGGAGGCAGCTGATCGATGGCTCTCTCTCATCAATGTTTCTAGCTCTCTATCTCTCTCCCTTCCTATCTGTACAAAATCAATAAAAATATATTAAAAAAAAAAAGACTCAAACCCAATATAGAAAATGGGCCAAAGATATGAATTGATAGTTTATAGAAAATATATATAGATGATCTTTAAATGTGTGAAAACATGTTCAAATTTACTCATCATTAGAGAAAAGCAAAAAATAAAAATAAAAAATAGCTGCATTGAAATATAATTTCTTACCTAATAGATTGGCAAAAGTATTAAAAAATGTACTCTATTGGGCAAGATTTAGAGAAAACACCACTCTCTCACACTGCTGATAGGGCCTTAAACAATATCTAACAACCCTACATATAGATTTACATTCTGACTTAGCAATTCAATTTCTAGGAATTCACTGTACAAGTATGTTTTACCCTCATCTTACTAATCCTACTTGTATGAATTTACCTCTAAAAATATTAAGAGCCCAATGTTAAACATTGCAATATTATTTTAAAAGTGAAATGCTAGAAACAACTTTAAAGCTCTTGTATGTGCTACTAATTGAATAAACTATGGTTCATCCACAAAACCGAGTACTACGTAGTCATGAAAACAATCAAGAGAAAGAGCTCTTTGAATTGACATGGAACTATTTCCAAGATACACTGATAAGCAAAAAAAAAAAAAAAAAAAAAAAAGACAGTATAAAAGAATACATCTTATATACTACATTTTGCGTAAGAGAAAAGATAAATGTATATCTAGTTTGCAAAAAAAGAAACACAAGAAAGATAAACCAGAAACTAATGTAAATGGTTACCTGTGGAGTGTATCGATAAATGATGTAAGAAGAGAAGGCATATTTACTTGTCCTACTAGTAAAAAGTGTATATTTAAGAATATATTCTGATCTTGGAATTTTGTAAATATTTTATGTGTTCAAAAATAATGAATGGAAAGAAGCAAATTATAAAATAGGGTATAAATAGAGACAAATGTTTCTAAATACGCTAATAATACTGGGGGGGGGTTTCAGTTGTTCGTATGGAAAATAATACAATAATCCTATATAATAAAGATGTAATATGCAATGGTTATTACGCCGTGAAGTGTAATGACTGACCACATAATGACCGACCACATAACGACCAGATCATGGATCAGATCTAAGAGAGAAAGAGAGAGAAAGAGGGGGGAGGAGAGAGAGAGAAAGAAGAGAGATAGGGAGAGAGTCAGAATCAGAAGGCAAACAAATGTGGGAAAATGTTAACAGTTGTCAACTAGAAGAATATATCCATGCTCATCTTCCTAGTGTTTCAGTTTTTCTGTAGATTTGATCCATCAAAATAAAATGTTGGAGTAGGGAAAAATTTCAAGTGTTAGAATTAAAAATAATAGGAAAAGGCACTACATTCAGAACATAATTTGAAGGTTGGGTGTTCTAGCATTTTACAGTTTTGAGTGCTCTTGACATTTGGAAGTAAATTTCAAGGACAGAAACGCATTATCTGGTAAAAGTTCAAAGGAAATCAGAGGAAACAATAATGACAAACTTAGAAGCAAACTATGGAAGAGATATCAGAAGGTGGGTGGGCCAAGTGGCTTCTAAACCGGAATAGTGTGACAGGTCATTACTGAACCCACAGGCTGACTTTTTCTGGGAGAACCACGTTTTGTTAAGTTCTCATGCCTTCAACCTTTTCCTGATGGGCTTATTCAAATGTCTCTACCTGAAGAGGAGAGCTAAGAGGGAAACCGCCAAGGTGCCGCAAGGAGCAGCAGCAAGCTGGGGCGGCAGAACAGACATTCCACATGTGGTCACCCCGTTTCCAAGGTGGGATTTTGCTTCTGCCCTCTGACCCTGGCCAAAAATGGCCTTTCACAACTGATCTCGCTACCAAGCGTCTGTGACAGGAGTGCCATTTCTTGACATGCACAGAACATGCTACTGTTTTCAAGCAGCTACCACATGAAGGTGTGGTCTCATTTGATCTTGATAGCAAACACTGGGGGTATCAGCAAGAGCACACGATTTCAATCTCGACTTTGCAGGTCACACGACAACAGAGAGGAGGCTCTGCCTGAGGCCACAGGCTGGACAAGTGCAGGTGGGAAGATGAGGTGCACCAGGCCCATGTTCCCTCACAATCACTCTGTAGGAAAGAAATGGTGGGGCCAGCAAGAGTGGACAGTGGGGAGAGATCGCAGGACAGGGGCTCAGAGAGGCTCCTGAAAAGCCAAGCTTACTGTCAGGAAGCAGAGAGCCCATTCGCTCTGGTTTGTGCTGCACTCACTTTCCCGATGCAGCCTGTGACGATGCCCTGAACTATTTCTGTCATTACCGATGCTCCCAAGATAAGGGGGAAACATCAAGTAAAAAAAGTAAAGAGGTAAAAAAAAAAAAAATGCTGCCGACCACATTTGACTTCCATTAACTATTGTTTACAAACCTACAAGAGGGTTTTTACAGGTGCTTCAGATTCGGAAGGAATAAAAAATAAATGACAAGCTTGTCTCCAATTTTTGTTGCACTTGCCTGCTACTGAGCTGGTAATGGAGCCCTCACTTGTCTTTTTCACACACGCAGGCTTTGTCAATACACGCCGTGACAGAACGTGCCTCTGAGAGGGTCCCACAGCATCCCTTGCCACAGGGGGGGCTCCCAGCCACCACAGCTCAAACCACCTTGTCTCGTGTCTGGATGTTGAGAACCACATGCCCACCTGCTTCCTCTACGCTAGCAGACAGCCTGCCAGCCCCAGAAATAGGAGAACACACTGGATCATCATGCTTGCAAGTGACCTGTCAGCTGGGTGCAGAGCGATCTCAACAAAGAGCAGCTGGACCGGACCAGAGCAGAAAAATTACTCAGCTTATCTCCAAAACTGAGTTAAAGGGCGCTGTTTTATGTCCTCAGATTTTGAGTATATGCTTTTAGTTGCAACCCAAGAATTTTGACTCAGCGAGAAACTGCATCAACGGAGAAGGCTACAATCAATAGAGCTATGGAGAGAAGGTAGAACTGATGGGCTGAGTCACGTACGGCGGCTTAAAGAGAGAATATCCTCACTTCATGTTATGATGAAACAGCTGATTGGACAAGGAACCCACCCCCCAGAACACCGGTGGATGCTCACAAAATGTGTTATACTCTTCACTGTGCAGTCCTTGTCCTGTGGGATGCAATTAATTCTCTGCTCTGATAGCCAAAGTTGGGTGTTACAGAGAGGACTTTTGTTTTTTGCTTCTTTTTCTAAGTGGGAGTGTTTGTGGTTCTGTAAGCACATTTTCCCATGTAACCACTGCATTGCAGGATGGAAAGGGATGTTGTCTGAACGAAATGGAGTGTTACCTAGAGAAAAATATGAACTAATTGGGAAATTTTTCACTTTGAGAAGAGGTGCCCATTGACAATATTTTTTGTTGTTGTTTCAGCTGCCACCAGATCTGAGTGACTGAGGGTGGTGAGAATGTAGTTTAATGTAACATGGTTCAATCATGTACAGCAGAGAGAGCTCTTAATAAATGGGAAGAGAGGTAGTGTGTGTGTGTGTGTGTGTGTGTGTGTGAGAGAGAGAGAGAGAGAGAGAGAGAGAGAGAGAGAGAGAGAGAGAGAGAGAGAGAGAGAAGGAAGAATAGACAACTTTTAGGGGAGTATTCCTACAAACCATACCCTCCTGACTTTCTTTCCGCTCACTAGTTCCCTCTTGCTGGGACTAGATTCTCAGTGACCATGCTTGGGTTCCATAATCTCGCATCTTGGACGTTGTTGATGGGCCAGGGGTAGGCACCTAACTGTAGCTGGGCTAATCAGTTTCTTTTCTAAAAAATTTGAAACTGTGAGTAGGAGATGCTGAGTTGTTTGAATCTGGACATCTAAACTGAGGAGCTCGGAACACCTGCATTTAGCCATGTGCACACAGATGCACTGGAAGCTAATTCAGAAAGGACAAGAGGGGAAGGGATGGAGTGGAGAGGAGGTAGGAAAAGGGAGACATATGCACACGGGGTTTCAGGTTCTTGATAATTGCCTAGCAGCTCACTCTGACTCTTGGATCCCCTCAAATGCCCTAGCACGTTTCTAATAAACTCCCTTCAGATTACGCTAATTCAAAAATGGGAATATGTTTCTTATAATCAAGAGAGCCTCAACTAAGAAAAATTCAGTTATTATGAGTTTCTTAACAATCAAATAAAAGTATAAATGCCAACGCTTGGCTGTATCTAGTTTCTACTTTATCTTCTGGTGTACTTAAGCCAGTAGTCAATCTGGGGGGTGCGGGGTGGGGGAGCAAAATATTGTCTGCCACTAAAATTCCATTTATATTGTTAGAAGAAAAGCATTTTTTTTCAGTCTCATGGGATATATTTAAATAGACATACCTATTGTTTATTCTTCTGGTGAACTGAGTTTTGAATATATCCTTTATTGATCTACAATTCTTTTCTGAAAAGTGAGTATAAATATCAGTAAACACATCAACACCTGTTATAAGAGGGTCATTATTATTAGTTTAATTATTATTATATTATTTAATAATAATAATAACAACAACAGCAGCAGCTAAAGCTCCTCTAGCCTACCTTTTTCCCTAGAGTGCATACATGAACATCATTATAGTTATTCACATAGGAAATGACACTAGTTGTTTTTTGTTTTTTTTTAAATATATTTTATTGATTTTTGTACAGAGAGGAAGGGAGAGAAATAGATAGTTAGAAACATCAATGAGAGAAAGTCATCGATCAGTTGCCTCTTGCACACCCCCTACTGGGGATATGCCCGCAACCAAGGTATATGCCCTTGACCGGAATCGAACCCGGGGCCCTTCAGTCCCCAAGCCGACGCTCTATCCATTGAGCCAAACCGGTCCCGGGGGAAATGACACTAGTTTTAAAAATTGCATTATTTAAAGAAAAAATAGTTATCAATTTAGATTTAATGATGATGTCTGGAGGCTTTCAGAGTGTAAGTTGAAAGCTTGCCATTTAATTTCTTACTCTGAAGTCTAGGCAAAAAAATAAAAATAAAGCTCTTTATGAAAAGAAAAACATAGATACTTCCAAGGTTGTTTTGGCAAAGTACAAAGTTAAAGGCTACTAAGGAGATTTTCAGGTTAGCTTGATGAGTATAGACATAAAGATAGTGTATCCAACACAATTGGGAGAGAAAGTCTATATTAGCGATCCCCAGGAATCAGGTTTTTGGATTTGTATTGGTTTCTTTTGCCTGAGTTATCAACATCACGGGGCCCTTAGATTATGATAAAGCTTCACTGCGGAATCGGAAATATAGGTCAGTAATACTAGTAAAGGCATCATGAGGTGGGCAGTTCTCCAGTGAAGCAGAACTGTCCTCTCCAAACCAGGGCTGGGAAATCTGAGCACCGGCTGGATGCACAGTCATGAGTGGGTAAATCTTGCTGCTTTACCTGAGAAGACTGACCAGTCATGGAGAATGAATGCAGCTCAATTTCACTGTGAGACAACAGGTGTAAGAAATTCTCCCAACTTTGACGCCGTTACAGATTTTTGGTACACTCCAACACCTATGGGCATTGTCAAAGCATTTTAAACCGAAAAGGTATTTTATACAGTATCTGATACATGTTACTGGTGAAGTTGACAAAACTGAGACCCAGAGAAGTCTGATAATGTTCCCAAGGTTACCCAGCAAAACTCTAGAATCAGTGACAAAGCAGCCCTCGTCATTTTTGTGTGATTATACAGCAGGTGCTATGCTAATAGCACTGTATGCAGTTTCCCGTTTTGATTCCAACAATCCTATGAGGTTTGTATCATCATCACCATTACATGATGATCTTGCTACCATTTCACAGATGTGGAAACTAAGGTAGAGGCAGATAAGCATCTTGCTCTGTACCAGGCAGCCAAGACATGGCAAGGATGTTCTTGAACGTTGATCTGACTTTCCAAAGCTCTAAGCCATGGACCTTCCCACCACACTATCATTCTTCCATGTCCTCCATTTCTATCAGAACTCTACAAGGCCTTACAGAATGCTTAATGAGCTGCACTGCTTGAAATGACTTAATAATAGAATTTAAAAGGCAGGCTGGATTTGAATAGTATGACATTAAACACTAGGTAACATGTCCTTTTTAAAATTAGATAGTGCGACTTTGTTATAATTGAAGGGAATGACCTGACTCTTTAACAGTGATGAGGAATTGAAATATAATATTCTTATTTAGATAATGTTTTATTCACTGTGCATTTAGGTATTAGACTAATTCTTAGTGGAAAAATTTACCAGGCAGCTGTGTATTCATTTGCCATATGCCACATTCTCTCTGACCAGACGCAATGAAATCTGATTTCCATTTGGGAGAGACCAGCTGCCTCCCCAGCAAACACGTCTACCCAGGGCTCAGTAGCTAATGGGAGATCACTAACTGAATGTTGAAGGATTTAAGCATTCTGCAAGAGCAACTGGTTTAGTGGGAAAGTATATTTTATTTATAATAGCTGAGAAAGGTACCATGTATTTATTTTTCATTGTAATAATAAAAATTACAATTAGATGTATTTTAATTAAAAATAAAGTTAACAATCTGGCCTGTTTTTCTCAGTGGTTAGAGTGTCAGCCCATGAATCAAAGGGTTGCAGGTTTGATTCTAAGTCAAGGGTACGTACCTAGTACCTCAGTTGTGGGTTCATTTCCTGACACCAGTGGGTGTGTGTGCGGGAGGCAATCATCTCTCTCTCTCTCTTTCTCTCTCCCCATCCCTCCCTCCCACTCTGTCTGAAAATCAATGGAAAAAATATCCTCAGGTGAGGATTAAAAAATAAAATAAAAATAACATTAGCAATGAATTTAACTTTATTATAATAAGAGATATTGTTACAATTTATAAACCTGCAGTCCTAACAATAGGATCTAGTCACTGCTAGTAACATACACCTATTTAGTGGGCTCTAGATGTCCCACAAATGCTTTTGAAAGAAATATACAGATATGTGGACAGAAAGCCTCTTAAAACTTTAATGCTTAAATCTCTGTCATAAAGATGCTGACATTGTTAAGTGTTGAAAAGGCCCACTGAGAAGAGAAGAGAAGAGAAGAGAAGAGAAGAGAAGAGAAGAGAAGAGGAGGAGAAGAGGAGGAGAGGAGGAGGAGAGGAGGAGGAGAGGAGAGGAGAGGAGAGGAGAGGAGGGGAGAGGAGAGGGAGAGGAGAGGAGGAGGAGTAGGAGAGAGGAGAGGAGAGGAGAGGAGAGGAGAGGAGAGGAGAGAGGAGAGGAGGAGGGAGAGGAGAGGAGGAGGAGAGGAGAGGAGAGGACGAGGAGAGGATGAGGAGAGGAGAGGAGAGGGGAGCGGAGGCGAGGAGGAGGAGAGATGAGGAGAGGAGAGGAGAGGAGGAGAGGAGGAGGAGAGGAGAGGAGAGGAGGAGAGGAGAGGAGAGGAGAGGAGAGGAGAGGAGAGGTGGAGAGGAGAGGATGGAGAGGAGAGGAGAGGAGAGGAGAGGAGGGGATGGAGAGGAGAGGAGAGGAGCGGAGAGGCGAGGAGATAGGGAGAGGAGAGGAGGGAGGGGATGGAGAGGAGAGGAGAGGATGGAGAGGAGAGGAGAGGATGGAGAGGAGAGGATGGAGAGGAGAGGATGGAGAGGAGGGGAGGAGGGAGAGGAGAGGAGAGGGGGGAGAGGAGAGGAGAGGAGAGGAGGGAGAGGAGGGGAGATGAGGAGAGGAGAGGAGGAGGAGAGGAGAGGAGAGGCGAGGAGAGGGAGAGGAGAGGAGGAGAGGAGAGGAGAGGAGAGGAGAGGAGAGGAGAGGAGAGGAGAGGAGAGGAGAGGAGAGGAGAGGAGAGGAGGAGAGGAGAGGAGCAGGAGGAGAGGAGGAGGAGAGGGAGAGGAGAGGGAGAGGAGAGGAGGAGGAGAGGAGGAGGAGGAAGGAGGAGGAGAGGAGAGGAGAGGATGGAGAGGAGAGGAGAGGAGAGGAGAGGATGGAGAGGAGAGGGATGGAGAGGAGAGGAGAGGAGGGGAGGGAGAGGAGAGGAGAGGAGGGGAGGGGGTAGAGGAGAGGAGAGGAGAGGAGAGGAGAGGAGAGGAGGAGGATCGAGGAGAGGAGAGGAGGGAGAGGAGAGGAGAGGAGGAGGAGAGGAAGGGGAGGGAGGAGAGGAGAGGAGAGGAGAGGAGAGGAGAGGAGAGGAGGAGGATGAGGAGAGGAGAGGGGAGAGGAGAGGAGAGGAGAGGAGAGGAGAGGAGAGGGAGAGGAGAGGAGAGGAGAGGAGAGGCAGAGGAGAGGAGAGGAGAGGAGAGGAGAGGAGAGGAGGAGGAGGAGTGAGGAGAGGAGAGGAGAGGAGAGGAGAGGTGAGGAGAGGGGAGATGAGCGGAGAGGAGAGGAGAGGAGGGGGAGTAGAGGAGGGAGGAGAGGAGAGGAGGAGGAGAGGAGAGGCAGTAGGAGAGGGAGAGGAGAGGAGAGGAGAGAGGAGAGGAGAGGAGAGGAGAGGAGAGGAGAGAGGAGAGGGAGAGGAGAGGAGGAGGAGAGGAGAGGAGAGGAGAGGAGAGGAGAGGAGAGGAGGGCGGGGGTGGAGAGGAGGGAGAGGAGAGGAGAGGGGAGGAGAGGATGGGGAGGAGAGGATGGAGAGGAGAGGAGAGGATGGAGAGGAGAGGAGAGGAGAGGAGAGGAGAGGAGAGAGGAGGGAGAGGTGAGGAGAGGAGAGGAGAGGAGAGGGATGGAGAGGAGGAGAGGGAGGAGGAGAGGAGAGGAGGGAGAGGAGAGGAGGAGGAGAGGAGAGGGAGAGGAGAGGAGAGGAGAGGAGAGGAGAGGAGAGGAGAGGAGAGGAGAGGAGAGAAGAGGAGAGGAGAGGAGAGGAGAGGAGAGGAGAGGAGAGAGAGGAGAGGAGAGGAAGAGGAGAGGAGAGGAGAGGAGAGGAGCGGTAGAGGAGGCGAGACGAGGGGAGAGGAGAGGAGCGGAGGAGAGGAGAGAGGAGAGGAGAGGGGATGGAGAGGAGAGGAGGGAGATGGAGAGGAGAGGAAGGAGAGGAGAGGGAGGAGAGGAGAGGAGAGGAGAGGAGGAGGAGAGGGAGGAGGAGAGGAGAGAGAGGGAGGGGAGAGGAGAGAGAGGAGGAGAGGAGAGGAGAGGAGAGGAGGAGAGGAGAGACGAGGGAGGAGGAGGGAGAGAGAGGAGAGGAGGGGAGAGGAGAGGAGAGGAGGAGAGGAGAGGAGAGGAGAGGAGAGAGGAGAGGAGAGGAGAGGAGAGGAGAGGAGGAGAGGAGAGGAGAGGAGAGGAGAGGAGAGGAGAGGAGAGGAGAGGAGGGAGAGAGAGGAGGAGGAAGGAGAGGAGAGGAGAGGAGGAGGAGAGGAGAGGAGAGGAGGAGAGGAGAGGAGCGGGAGAGAGAGAGGAGAGGAGAGGAGAGGAGAGGAGAGGAGAGGAGAGGAGGAGGAGGAGAGGAGAGGAGAGGAGAGGAGGAGGAGAGGAGAGGAGAGGAGAGGAGGAGAGGAGAGGAGAGGAGAGGAGAGAGGAGGAGAGGAGAGGAGAGGAGAGGAGAGGAGAGGAGAGGAGAGGAGAGGAGAGGAGAGGAGGGAGAGGAGAGGAGAGGAGGAGAGGAGAGGAGAGGAGAGGAGAGGAGAGGAGAGGAGAGGAGAGGAGAGGAGAGGAGAGGAGAGGAGAGGAGAGGAGAGGAGAGGAGAGGAGAGGAGAGGAGAGGAGAGGAGAGGAGAGGAGAGGAGAGGAGAGGAGGAGAGGAGAGGAGAGGAGAGGAGAGGAGAGGAACTAATGAATTTCAGCTTGGCCAGTAAATCTCTGCATGAGCAAAATTCACCCTCCCATGTTTCACTTTCTGCCTTCAAAATAACAACAGTGGCATCAGGGACATACTTATATAACACTTAGAAGGTGTAAGCACTGTTCTAAGCACTTTTCACATATTACGTTATCTAACCCTTCTTTTGAAGTATTAGCATTCTCCTCATTGTAGAGATAAGGAAGCTGAGGTGGAGAAAGGCCACGTGATGTGAGTAATGGGGCTAGGGTTCATCACTCTGTTTTAACCATGACTCATAAAGTTCTAAAGTATGTACCTAAACTATCTTTTTTAAAAAATTCTTTATTGTTGAAAGTATTACATATGTTCCTCTTTCCCCCACTGACCCCTCTAGCCCACCCCTTCCCCTCACCCCAGGCCTTCCCTATCTTAATCATAACTCATTTTCATCATTT